GTGCTAAGAGTCCTACTAAGTTAAAGAATTAATGCATTTGAAATTGTCTATTACCTCCTGCAGCATACACTATTCCATTCTGTAATCATGCCAAAAAAAAAAAAAAAAATCATGGCAGTGATTTATAAAATCACTATTCATTATGGGAAGGGCCACTTTGTTAACATAGATGACTTAAGTTTTATAAAGACCTTTGAATTCTAGTGGTTGTGCATAGATCCTTTACATATCTTCTCACAATTTACAAAAAATAAATATTTTACCTCATTTGTAATACATATAATCAAACTGAAGAAATCATTTCTATTTTTTTGTACTTTATTTATTTTTTCTTTTTTTCCCCTTTTATTTTTTAATAGATTGCAAATCGAAAATGAATTATTTACAAATATAACTGAATATAACAATAAAAACTGTCCAAAATAAAAATGAAGCAAGAATTTACAGATCAGTCATAACAGTTCACTGTGTCAAAACCAAGAAACTTACATAATTAGGATTATTTACAAATTTTAAATTTCTGAATTTAGTTCAACTTATAATACCACATTTCCAAGAAAAATGAACCTTTTGCAAAGACACTTAAAGTGTGTAAAAAACTAGATTAATTAAAGAACTGAAAGAAAAGATCTGTCCTCTTTGAATTTTGTACTTAGCAAACATATCTTTGAAAACTAAAAGTAAGATTTTCTAGTTATACAAACTTGAAATATTGTAGTATCTCCAGAAGTAGCATATAGGAAATAACAAAAGAGCATAATTCAAAAGGCAAGAGAAGTTGTAGTATGTTCTCTCAATATGATAGTTGTGCAGGACTATATAAAAAATATATTAGATGAACCCTTATTTAAAGGTCATTCCAGATTTCTATGAAATCTTATGTTGGGTTATACACGTATTTTTTTCCCCATATATATGTGTGTATGTGTGTATAAAAGTCAGGGAAGAAATAACATAAAGTCAACAGAAAATGGAAATATACTTTTTAAAGTTTCTAATACTAGGAGAAGATATCTTACAATGTCTTTTAAATAAATTGTAAGTCAAAGATACAGCATAAATCTTAGAATAGGGGCTGGTGAGATGGCTCAGTGGTCTACAGCACGTACTTAGAACAAGCTTAGCAAAGCACAGGGACCGCGGTTCAATC